GTTCAGGCTTCGGGTTTAGGGTGTAGGGAGGGCCTATGGGGCGCTTGAAGGGCGCAAGGTGCTAAAATGGCCTTCGGCTCTACAAGTAGGTCCTGCAGGGTCTCGGGAGTCAAGGGTTTAGGACTCATGCCAAAGCTCCATAATACAGGGGCCTTAACAATTAGAATAGGGTTTGGGGGCCCATTATACTATAGTTACAATAAGGAACCCCAAAATAGTATTGGTAATTGTTTAGGCTTCTATATTAACCCCGAAACCTCCAGCCAACCCCACAGCCTAAACACCCCTTCAACCCTTAACGCCGCAAAGCCCCTGTGTGAACCCTAGTAGGGTTCGGGGTTTGTGGGTTAAAGGTGTAGGGTGTGTGGGTTTAGGGTGTAGGGTTTAGGGTTTGGAGGTTGGGGGTTTCAGGTGTAGGATTTAGGGTTTAGGGTTTGTGGGTTTAAGGTGTAGGGCTTGGGGTTTGGGGCTTGTAGGTTTAGGGTGTAGGGTTTAGGATTTGGGGTCTGGGGGTTTAAGGTGTAGGGTTAAAGTACCGAAACATCCAGAAACCTTCTAAGTCACAAAAGCCCAACCAAACAAAGAGTCCGGTCCTCAACCATGCCCTGTGAAACCCTCGAAAAGCCACGAGCCCTGAATCACTAAAAAAACATGAAAGACAGCCTCGAAAATTGTACGCCCTAGACCCTAAACCCTAAACTCTAAACCCTAAACCCTAAACCGTGGAAACCGTCAAAATTGACCGCACTAGACCCTAAACCCTAAACCCTAAACCCTAAACCCTGAACCCTAAACCCTAAACCCTAAAGCCTCTGGGTCGTCCTGGTTCTTGTCAGGATGGAGTTTCAAGGCTACCTGCGATCATGGGCACCCTGAAGCCGTGAACAGACCTGAACAGAAGCCCTGAGGGTTTGGGGGTTTAGGGGTTTTGAGGTTTAGGGGTTTAGGGTTTAGGGGTTTAGGGTTTAGGAGTCTGCAAGGTTTAGAAGTTTCGAGTTTAGGGTTTAGGGGTTCAGGTTCTTAAGGGGTTATAAGGCCTTAGCGGTTGAGGGCCTAGGGGCTT